GCACCCGTGGGAAGTCTCCGTAGGTAACGAGGGTTGCACAACACGATTCCCTGACACCGTCCAAACTCGGGGCTGGCGGAGCACATTTACTTTAGTTTTTTTTTCCCCTCTTTATTTTTATTGAGGTAAAATTCATATAACGTAGAATTAACCATTTTATGGTATTTTATAGCACTTTATGTTTTATGTACATCACATTTTTATAGATTACATAATGTAATTCTACATAATTGCAACATTACAGAACTGTACTGTGTGCATGTATAATATGGAACGTAATGTAATATATGTAGCACTATATGTATTATAGGATTGTTATCACTACATTCGCAGAGTTAACACCTCTATCTAGTTCCAAAATATGTTCGTCACCCTCAAAAGAAAGCCCTGTACCCCTTAAGAAGTCTATTTTTTTTCTTTTTAAAGCATAATTTTATTGATTTAATTTTTTTCCAACCTGCTCATTCATCACCATCCCCAATCCATTTAGCGCTTGGCTGTGGCAATGGCGACATTGTCCCGATGCGACCACGCTACAATCATCCGGTTAGGACCCACCTCCCACCTTTAGACCCCGCCCGAGTCCCCCAGTTGTCCCAACAGCGACAGTGCCGTACCCCACGCGGTACTGAGCTGCCAGCTCTCTAGTCCTCTTCTCTCGTGGACAGTGTCTCAGTCCGCCCTTGACTTCTACCATCAGCCCCTGAACCGGCTGTCGCTCACTTTGGCTCTGCAGAGAGCTCAGGAGTGTGCGGCCACACCGTGACGTGGCGAGAAGGCTCTCGTCCTCGGAGGTGCCGGGCTCCCCGCGGGCCTCGTCGGGCGTGAGCTCCAGCTTTTGCGTCTTCCCGCACGAGATGCCGCCTGGAGGCGTCCGGCGGCGGGGGCTGAGCGCCAGGCTTTGGGGAACTCAGTTCAGAATCTACACTCGGGCGCCAGCTCCTCCGCGCCGCCAGCCGTTGGCACAGGCAACCTGTCATTAAGGGGCTGCAGTCGCTCGATCGCTCTCCGTGACTCACGACTCTGTCGTCTGCTTGCGGCCCGGGGCCTCCGCCCCCGCCCGGTCCCCCTAGGGCCGGGGGAAGGCGGGGTCTGGTGGGAAAGCAGACCTGCAGGTCGGCTGTTCCCAGGCTAGGCGCCCAGCCTCCCTGCCAGAGCCGGGATGGGCGGGGCAGCCGGCCTAGTCAGGACGGGCGGGGCGGCTCCCTCGGCCCTGACGGGTGGGTCTCAGGCAGCGCTTTCGTCTTTTCTCCTTTCCGGTCCCTGCCAGGAAGGCGCTGCAGTTTCGTGGGGTGTTGCGATCCGCTTACGGCCGAGACCTGCGCGCGGATAAGCTGGTCTACGCAAGTATGGGAGCCGTCCGGGCAGAGGGAGGGATGCAGTCGCCCCCTCCTCCCCGCTACATGGGAGTGGGGGTGGGTAGGGAGAAGGAAGTGAACCCCAGGACTGCGGCCAAGGCCTGGTGGTGTGGGGAGCCGGAGCTGAGCTTTGGGCTGAGGCTAGAAACACGCAGTCTGGTTCTTGCCCTCCACTTCTGTGAAGGCCCCGGACCCTACAGCCTCCAAGCCTGCCCTTGCCAGCCCAGGGCTGCCCAAATGCCCACATACATCCCAGAATAGGCACCAGGGCAGGAAACCCAAACTAACTTGAGTGACAGAGCAGGTGACTAGGGAGAAACAGGCATCCAGCCCAGCCAGGAAAGTGAAGTAGATATGCAGAGACACGATGACAGACGAACAGGGGTGCGAAAGACAGAGGCAGGTAGAGTCTGAGAGAGACAGAAAGTGAGCCCAAGGGGGAAAGTGACAAGGTGACAGAGAAGAGCAGGCAGATACAAATAGAGAGACTTAAGTCACTGAATCAGAGCCACATGAACAGGGAGTGGATCACGGGACTGAGCTCGAAAGAACATCGTCTGGGCGAGTCTGAGACAAAGATAAACCGAGAAGCTCAGGAAGAGGGGGCTCCTGTTGGTAAGATGAACAATAAGGGGCTTGCAAGTGGAGGCGGGGCGTGGGAATGGAGCCCCATCACACACTCCAGTGGGGTGATTTGGCGTATCTTCGGATAATTTTAAATGCATACGCCTTTAAACTCAGTAATTCCACTGCTGGGAGCTTATCTTAAAGATAACATCTCACAGTTGGAGAGAGAGATCTGTGCTCAGATGTTTCTTCTAGTTGCTAATGGTGGAAAGCCGAAGTAGAATCCTTGTGCAACTGTTGGTGGGAATGTAAATTGGTACAGCTGCTGTGGAAAATAGTCTGGTGATTCCTCAATAAATTAAACATAGTGTTACCATGTGACCCAGCAATTCCACTTCTGGGTATGTACCCAAAAAGATCGAAAGCAGGAACTTGATGCAGGAACTCGTGTTCACGGCAGCATTACTCACAGTAGCCAAAAGGTAGAAGCAACCCCAGTGTCCATCCACAGGAATGGATGAACGAAACGTGGTTTTTCCGTACAGTGGAATTTTAGTTAGCCTTCGAAAGGAAGGAAATTCTGACACATGCTACAATATGGATGAACGCTGAGGACATTACGCTCAGTGAAATAAGCCAGACAGAAAAGGACAAATAGTGTGTGATTCCATCCTGTGAGGTTCCTGGAGGAGTCGGACTCAGACAGAAAGTAGGGTGGTTGACATTGCTAAAACCAAAAGACAGCCTACTGAATGGGAGAAGATATTTGCCTATGATACATCTGATAAGGGGTTAATATCCAAAATTTATAAAGAACTCATACAACTCAATACCAAAAAAAAAATCCAATTAAAAAATAGGCAGAAGACCTAAATAGGTAGAGGACGTACTGATGGCCGATAGATATATGAAAAGATGCTCAAGGTCATTAAATCAGAGAAATGCAAATTAAAACCACAATGAGATATCACTTCACACCTGTCAGATTGGCCATCATCAATAAATCAAAAAAGAAGCACTGGAGAGGGCGCGGGGACTCTCATGCACTGTTGGTGGGTTTGCAAATGGGTATGGCCCCTATGGAAAAATTTGGAAGTTCCTCAAAAAACTAAAAATAGAACTTCCTTATGACCCAGCAATTCCACTTTTGGGTATTTATCCAAAGAAAAACAAAAAAACTAATTCATAAAGATTTATGCACCCCTGTGTTCACTGCAGCGCTATTTACAATAGCCAAGATATGGAAGCGACCTAAATGCCCATCAGTAGACAATTGGATAAAGGAGTTTTGGTTCATATACGCAATGGAATGTTACTCAGCCATAAAAAAATAAATGAAACCTTCCCATTTGAATGATATGGATGGACCTAGAGGGTATTATGCCGAGTGAAATCAGTCTGACAGAGAAAGAAAAATATATGATCTCACTTATATGAAGAATCCGAGGAACAAAAGAAACCGACAAAATAAAAACAGACTCAGACACAGAGAACAAAGTAGTGACTGCCAGAGGGGAGGAGGTTTGGGGGACGGGGTGAAAAAGATGAAGGGATGAAGAGGTACAAATTCGTAGCTACAAAATAGACACGGGGACATAGAGTACAGCACGGGGAATCTAGTCAATATTATTGCAATGGCTGTGTGTACTGCCAGGTGAATGCTAGAATAATCGGGGGAGATCGCTTCTTAAATTATATAAATGACTAACCATTGCGCTGTATACCTGAAACTAATAAAAATAAATAAATAAAATATGAAATTCACAAAAAAGTAAGATGATTGGTGCCAGGGGCTGGGGGACAGGGAATGAGGGGGTCAACGTTTAATGGGGACAGTTTCAGTTTGGGAGGATGAATAGAAGGAGAGATGGCTGCGCAACAGCGTGAATGTGTTTCATGCCACGGAACTGTACACTTACAAATGGTTAAGATGTTAAATTCTGTACTATGTTTATTTTACCACAATTAAAAGAATGAGGTCGAGCCATACGTGCCAATGCCAGAAGGTGTCCACAGGAAGAAAGGCAGGAAGTCTGCGACAGTGACAGCTCTGGGATGGTGGTGCTGGGCAGCAAGATGAATACTGCTTTGTCCGTCCCTTAACACCATGTTTTTCTGAAACCAGAACCAAGCAGCTGGGACCACACCCGGGGCCGACCTGGATCCCTCCGGAGGGTCCCAGCAGCCCACACACAGCCATGCACTGCCCAGCCGCGCTCCTGCTCCTCCTTCTGGCTGGTGGGGCCGAGGCCTTTCGCATCTGCGCCTTCAATGCCCAGCGGCTGACGCTTGCCAAAGTGGCCAGGGAACATGTGATGGACACCTTAGTGCGGGTAGGTTCATCACTGTAGGGAAGCTGCTCCCCTGAAGACCATGAGCCAAAGACCCCAGTCCTACCAGACCAGGGGGGGCAGTCCCAGAGAAGAGGGGACATCGAGAGACATGGGTGCAGAGGCGAAGAGCACAGTCCCTTCCTGTCATTGGCCTGAGTCTTCCTCTGTGAAATGGGTTCGGCGTAGGTTCCGATGGCATTCAGTCCTATTGTTCTCTGTGGGCCACAGCCAGCACGCCACGACACTCTTGTCCATATTAGTGGCAGTTCCTCAGGGACTCCACCCCGCTGTTGGGGCAGCGGTCACTGAGTGGAACCAGTCTTCCCGGTGTTCTGCAGATCCTGGCTCGCTGTGACATCATGGTGCTGCAGGAGGTGGTAGACTCTTCTGGAAGTGCCATCTCCCTCCTGCTTCGAGAACTCAACCGGTGAGGCAGGCTCTGTGGGTGTAATCCCGGGCCCCTCGAGCCTTATGGCTCCTGACCTTGGGCTCCCCTTTCCTGGCAGATTTGATGGCTCTGGGCCCTACAGCGTCCTGAGCAGCCCCCTGCTGGGGCGCAGCACATACATGGAGAAGTACGTGTATATCTACCGGTAAGCACAGGTGGCGGCCGGGGTGGATTTGGTGCTCAGCCCACTGCGAGGTGGCTCAGAAGTCCCAAAGGGTACATGCCCCTTCCTCCTGGGGCAGCCGTCACCTTCTCACACTTTTCTTCCTCGATGGCTTTATTCTGAGATCTGCCCCTCCTCTACCCTCACCAGCTTTGGTGTCCTCGTGTAGGACAGCAGAAGGCCTTCTCCATGCACAGATGTCAGGTCCCTCTGCCTCTCTCCCGCGGAAGCCACTGGGGCTTGGGATAAGTCTGGCTGCTAGAAGCAGCTGCCTGCTGCTTCTAGAAAGAGGCTTGATGGGGGCCCATCAAGAGGCTTTGGGTGGACACAGTATCCAGAGACAGCTCTAAGTCCCGGGGAGGACAGCCTGGTGTGGGGAGCCCTTTGGGGGTCAAGATCGAGAGGGCAAAGGGGACGGTCAGGGAAGGAGACCTGTTTCTCCATGTAGATGGAATTAGATAATATCTAGAATTCACTCCAAAAGAATGGGAGGACAGAAACATGTCCACACAGGAAAGCTCATAGCAGCATCACTCATAACACCCCAAAATGGAAATGACCCAAGTGTGCATCACCTGATGAATGGGTGAGTAAAAGGTGGTTTCTCCCTCCGACAGAATGTTATTCAGCCGTAAGAAGGAATGAAATACTGACTCATGCTATGCCACAACATGGCTGAATGTTACAAACCTACGCTAAGGAACAGAAAGAGGATACAGAAGAGCACATATTATTTGATGACATTCCCATAGAATGCTCAGAATAGGCAAATCTACAGAGACAGGAAATAGATCAGTGGCTGTCAGAGGCCGAGGGGGAGAATGGAAAGTGACTGCTAACGGGTCCAAGGTTTCTTTTGGAGGTGAACAGAACGTTCTAAAATTGTGGCGACGGTTGCACAACCTTATCGATGTACCGAACACCGCTGAATTGTGCATTGAATTGTGCATTCTACCTCAATAAGAAAAAAATCCTAGAATAAAAGGCTGGGGAGGCTGTGCCTACATGAAACAGAGCTGCTGGTGGAAGGCCCCCTTCCTGAGTGCCGGCTCTGATGTTGGCACTTGCAATCCAAGATCAGTGATGTAGGGCCACTGCTTCCTGTGCCTTGGTCCCCCAGGTCACACAAGACGCAGGTCCTGGATTCCTACGTGTACAGTGACGTGGATGACCTCTTTGCTCGGGAGCCCTTCGTGGCCCAGTTCTCTTTGCCCAGCAAGGGTAGGAGGGGAAGGGTGTCTCTGCTACGTGGGAGTGGGAAGGGGGTCTGGCTGGCTTTATTGGGGGCTTGGTCCCCCAGAGGCTGGGTGGAGCAGAGCCAGGGGTGGAAGGGAGCCCTCCATATCTGGGGCCTGGCAGTCCTTCCCAGGCTGGTGTTGGTCCCCCTGCACACCACTCCGAAGGCTGTAGGGGAGGAGCTGAACGCCCTGTACGACGTGTTTCTGGACGTCTCCCAGCACTGGAAGATCAAGGTAGGGCTGGCCAGATTGCACGGGGTGGATGGGGACCGGATGGCAGGGTGGCCAGGCCCGACAGCTTTTCCCCTCTGCAGGACATGATCTTGCTCGGGGACTTCAATGCTGACTGCACCTCGCTGCCCAAAAAGCGCCTGGGTGAGCTGATGCTGAGAACTCAGGCCGGCTTCTACTGGGCGATTGCCGATGGGGAGGACACCACTGTGCGAGACACCACTCACTGTGCCTACGACCGAATAGTGCTCCACGGGGAGCGCTGTCAGAGTCTGCTGCATACCGCATCCACCTTCAACTTCCCCAGGCACTTCCGGCTCACTGAGGAGGAGGTAAAGATTTGAGGCCAACAGGGTCAGAGGGAAGTGCCTCAGCCCCGATACTGACATTTTGTTCCACTGCGCACATCCAGGCCCTCAACATCAGTGACCACTACCCTGTGGAGGTGGAGCTGAAGCTGAGCCAGGCAGCTCACAAGATCCAGCCCCTCGGTCTGATTACTTTGCTGCTGCCACTCCTGCCCCTCCAGCTGGGCCCCGTGGCCTGAATCCCAACCCCCACTCACTGACTGCTGCCCACAGATGTGATGACTGCACTGCCTTCAGGACTGAAACCCTGGCCTCGGTCCCGAAGTAACTCCATCTCTCCACCCCCAGCCCTGCCCTATTGGACTGCAGCCCTCTGCCTTTGCTTTGGCTCGTGTTCTTTGGTTGGGCCTGTGCCTCGCATTTGAATGTGGAAGTGGAGGGCCCCAAGCCCTAAGGATGGAGCCATGGTACTCTCCCCGGCACACACACACACCGCCCCCGCAGTGTCAGAGGTGGGGACTAAGCAGGCTCCAGAGCTGGGGGAGGGGAAGGCTCAGGAGGCAGTGATCTTGGCTAAACGGCAGGGCTTAGAAAAGGGAATCACATAAAAAAAGGGAATCACAACAGATAAAATTATTTCACATGAAAAGGAAACACCTACACACCGAAAACAAAAAGCTATATTGCAGGGACAGTACATGTCTAACATGTCAAAGGGCCACCTATACTGCACACAGGATTCACATAAATTGACATATAGACTAGTAGACCCGAGGGTGGAGATAAAACAGCTCACACACTACTGAAACATTTAAGCTAATTTGTAATTCAATGACAAAAGCTCTGATGCCTATGGTAAATAAAGCCCACGTTTCTGCCCACTGTTATCTCCACCCCGGCTGCTTTATTCACAGGTCACAACCCCAGAGAGGCTGGTTGCCAAGGCTACAGTTGCAGGAGCAACTATTAGCTACTGCATTAATACATGGTTGCACAGGGAAAGGGGATGATACACTATACATAGTAAAACGTCAACAATGA